ACTGATACTTTCTGCTCCACTCTTACATCTTGTTTAGACACTCTCTGCCCTCTGTCTTCCAGGTCAGCCCAATACCTACCCTTCTGCCCCTTGGCTGTCTGATGTTCTCCACAAGCATCGTTCTAGCTCAGGGCAGCAGAAAGGGTTTGGCACAAATCAAAAAACCTTAATGTGTATCAGTCACTCCTCTCTTCCTACTCTGCTAATGTCTCCACTGCTAAAAGGACATACTATCACAACAAAATTAACAATTCGTCTAACTCTCACATGCCCTCTAAAACATTTTCCTCCCTTCTTTGTCCTCCTCCTCCCCCTCCTTCATCAACTCTAACAGCTAACGACTTTGCCATGTTCTTCATTAATAAAACTGCAACCATCAGTGCACAATTCTCAACACCACAAACTGTCAAATACATCTTACCAGCAAACATACACTCGTTCAAACATACATCCTTCTCTCCACTCTCTGAGGCAGAAGTCTCTAAACTCACCCTTTCTAATCATCCTACTACTTGTCCGCTTGATCCTATTCCATCTCATCTCCTTCAAGCCATTTCTCCTGCAGTTGTACCTGCATTTACTCACATCACCACATCCCTTCCCACTGGTGTTTTTCCTTCGGCTTTTAAACAGGCTCGTATAACCCCACTACTTAAGAAACCCACTCTTAGCCCAACTCTTTTAGAGAACTACAGACCGGTTTCCCTTCTTCCTTTCATTGCAAAAACTCTTGAACGAGTTGTGTTCAACCAAGTCTCTGCCTTTCTCACACAGAACAACATCCTGGACAGCAACCAATCTGGCTTCAGAAGTGGACATTCGACCGAGACTGCCTTGCTTTCAGTTGTTGAAGCCCTAAGACTGGCAAGAGCGGCTTCAAGCCATAAAACTGGCAAGAGCGGTTTCCAAATCTTCATTACTTAACTAGCTGGATCTGTCTGCTGCTTTTGACACGGTTAACCACCAGATCCTCCTGTCAACCCTATTGGCAAAGAGCATCTCATGAACCGCACTCCAGTGGTTTGATACTTACCTCTCAGACAGGATGTATCTTGAATACATTGCTGGGGTGCCTCAGGGCTCAGTTCTTGGACCACTACTCTTCTCTCTGTCTACATGGAATCACTGTCTACATTTTGTCATTCAGAAACATGGCTTTTCATATCACTGCAATGCTGATGATAATCAGCTCTACCTCTCATTCCATCCTGATGATCCGATGATAGCTGCTCGCATCTCAGAATGCCTAACAGACATTTCTTGCTGGATGAAGGACCATCACCTACCTTGCCAAGACAGAACTGCTTGTGGTTTCAACAAACCCATCACAATTTCACCATCCAGCTAGACACATCAACCATAACTCCTTCAAAAACAGCCAGAAACCTTGGAGCTGTGATTGATGATCAGCTGAATTTCTCAGACAACATTGCTAAAACTTGCCCGGTCCTGTAGATTTGCTATATTCAACATTAGGAAGATCAGGCCCTTTCTTTCAGAACATGCTTCTTAACTCCTTGTTCAAGCTCTTGTTCTGTCCAGGCTGGACTATTGCAATGCTCTCTTGGCAGGTCTTCCAGACAGTTCTATCAAACCTCTACAATTACTACAGAATGCGGCTGCAAGATTAATTTTTGATGAGCAGAAAAGAACACATGTCACACCTCTGTTCATCAATTTGCACTGGCTACCAATAGCTGCTCGCATAAAATTCAAGACATTGATGTTTGCCTAC